TATTGGGCTAAAGGTGGCAACTTCCCTAACTCAGTCTGGTGTCAAGTATTCCCTAGTTCAGTGGCTCTCAAACTTTTTGGACTCGAGGGACCCCCTCATTGGACTCGAGGCACCTCTCCACAGCTTCTGTGAACTATGAGGCATCTCATCTCAAAACATAATTTATATATTGCAGTGTTTACCTCCTTACAGAGGGGCCGGACTGTGAAGGTCAGGAATTGTCCAGGCAGGGACCTGCATTTATTTGCTTAGTTTATCCATCTCCTAACACCTTGCTCATTTCCTCACAGCTCACTGACACCATTCAGAAGATCTGGTGGCACCCCAAGTGCTCTGGCATCCTGGTTGAGAATCACTGCCCTACCTAGTTGTGATTTTTGGCTGTTCACAATTAACGGGCTTTATGAAGCACTTCTGTGCATCCATGGCAAAAAAAAAAAAGGGAGAGAGAGAGAGAGAGAGAGACTCAAAACAGAGCATAAAGGGACTTAAATGTCTTTGGAGCAGTTATGAATTGGTTTTGAAAAATGTTTGGTAGGAATAGCTTTAGTGTCATAGAGCAAAACTGTGGACTTGAGTGCATAACACATTTAAGTGTTACACACAATTCAGGCTATTACTGGGGGGGGTGGGAATATAATGCTGGGTGACTTAGAAACCTAAAAACTCTGCGTGGCATCTGCAGTGAGATAGATACATAAAATTCTGCGTTGAAGAGCTGTTCGGGAGCCTTTTGAACAAATGATAACCCAATCCTAGGCTCCCCAGTATTTAAACAATAAGAGCCAAATGCAAATTCATCTCTAAGGTGCTCTCGTCCCCAGGTTTCAGTGTCTAAATCACTACATATAATCCTAATCTGCTCTATCCTACAGCTACCAACCCCCTTGCATTCTTATCGACAGACCTTGTTGCCATGCTGGCTTTTTGAGCATGCTCTAAAGGGCTCTACCAGGACAAAAAAAAAAAAAAAGAGCAAATAGCTTTCCTGAATTGGCAAAGTGTACCTGTTGTCAGAGCAGGGAACATACAAGTCTATGAGCTGTGGTGCCAGATGCCCAGTGAAAGAGTCGTCCATCTCCTTAGGTGGACTTGGATCATACTCCAAGGAAAGATGTATAGTTTTTCCTGCTAAGCAGCTTACCCCCCTGAAATCTTTGGGAATGTTAGCTTTGATATCAGTGAGGCAATGATTTCATCCACTCTCCCTCCACCTAGTATGCACTAGATGTGCTTCATTTCCATTGTCATTTGCTTACTACCTTCCCCTCGTCTCTTTGGCTTCTGAGTTAACATTTGTCTTGGCCGCAGGGGGCTCCCTGTTCCCCAGTTACCTTAGCACTGTCCTCTTTGATTTGCTTAAACTTGAAATTCATCTATGCCTCTTCAAGCTGGTCAGGAGGAAACACGGCCTTGGACCTGATATCACTTGTGATTCCTTGAAGTAAAATATCAAAAATCTGCTTTTTGGAGCACAAAGGCCCATTTGGTACATCCTGGGGCTAATTTGGGTGCTTAAATATGGGTTTTAGTACTTGATTTTATAGACAGACATTTTTTAAATTAGGGAGCAGCACTGAAATCCTAATGCCAATGATTTTGCCATTCATTTAAGTCAATATTCCTTAAATACTCTTGTTTAAAACATAGTTTGTGGTTGGGGTACACCTGGCTCTGTCCATTCTGTGCAATGTCTTCAAGTGACTTTAACCCTGTATGCTTCAGTTTCCCTTCTGTAATACAAGTGTAAGATGTCTACTAGCCAGGGCGGGGGGGAGGGTGTTTTGAGACGGAGGCCTGAGCTCCAGCCTGCTGACATCAACAAGAGTCTTTGGAGCAGGTCCTAACTCATTTAGAAGCGGACTCAGATAACTGGATGGAAGATGCTAGTGAAATGCCAAGTTCCATTGTTATCATTATTCTTGCCCATCAACACCGAGAACAGAACATGCCTAACCCTGCAGATTACCACCGATAAAGGAAACACCGTGCCTCAACCTAGACAAAAACAAAATGAGTGGAAAAGATCCCTTCAGTTTGGTAATCCTTTATTTTTTTAGTTGATCCTCCCATAGTAATGTACTGAAATGCGTAACAGTTACATTGTACAAAGCATTTAAAGAAAGTACCTCAACTTGCCAATTATTTTAAAATGAGATTATAAACAAAAGGAAAAGAAATCTGGTCCCTTGCTAAAGGGCAAAGAAAACCCCCAAAACAAAACAAAAAAAAAACCTGAATACAGTCTGTTATTTATTTATTTTTTTAACATAAGTTTGGAACACTTCATCTTACAAATAGGATTAACATGAACATAACATCACACAAGCTCGCAGACAACCAGCTTAAAATATTGGGTACAGCTTTAATCAGAAGAATCATGCTTTCATGAAGAAATTATAACTGTTTATACAATTGAATCAATTTAATGTATTACAAAAAAACTAAGTCACCTCTATTAGTTATTTAGTTTCATTAAAAGGAAAAAAATAAAATAAAAGAGGAATGTAAGAAAATTTCAAACACTGTTTTGCACTCCCATATACACAGATCAGTTCATCTCACTTGTTTTGAAGTACACGGGTGCCTACATCATGAAGAAGTAGTGGGGGACTAGAGCAGTGCTGTTAATTATAGGAACAGTGCTATTTTAATCAACAAACAATTGTTTGCCAACAAATAAATACATGGTACACACAACACAAAGAAGAAATCAGAGGGGGGGGAAAAAAAGAAAACACAAAATTGCGACATGATTGTCTAAAATTAAAAAAGTCATTACAATGATTTGGCAAACATTGAACTAGTGGTACTGTAGATGAACATGTTCTCTGACAGAAATATCTGAATGGCAAGCTTTTGGAGTGGTGAACATTCATAGTTTACAATATACACAAACCTCTTATTTACTGTTTCTCTTAGTTCTTTTTTTTCTATCTTTTTTCTTCTTTTTTTCTTTTTTTCCCTTTTTACAATGCACTTAAGAAGGCAAAAGGAATTACGGAGAGGACAAAATATTCCCTGTTATCAGTTTCTACATTAAGGATGGATAGTGTGCATTTGACAGAACTACTTTCTTTCTTCAAAGGGTTAAAATGCATAAAGCTTTAATGAAGAGGATTTGTACATAAAAGCAACTGTTCCCAATCCTGTGTCAAACTATCTTATACAAAAAGAAAAACGATTCAGTTTCTACTTTAAAGGAGTGCCCATGTGTGTATCAATGCAGTCTTAACCCTTTTGCCCCCACCCCCTGAACCGGGTGAATTGGAAGACACTTTTTCCCGGCCCTGGTTTACATAATCCATTGAAACCTTTTTGTTTAAGTCGCATTGATCCTCCAGAAGTCAGCAGCTGCCTTTGCTGTGCAAAACAAAATATCGAGAATAAATAGTTTCTTTCTTTTTAAAATTATTCAGTTTAAGGTCATCAGACTTTAAATGAGTGACCCTACAGATTTATAAGGCATTCTGCTCAGCAGTCTTTTAAATAGTCATATATGAAAGAGCCATGCTACTGTTTTGGACTTGGTCCCATTCTTGGTTAGCTTTCACAATGTCATACGTGACTAATGGATTGGATGGCGCTGGCTTCTGCGGCAGCTCTTGCCATACTGTGCCACACGTTGGGAGAATTATGGGATGCAGAATGGATGGAGTCCTTGTCAGAGAGAGAGAGCATCATAGCGTATGCCTGAATGAAGACAAGAGAGAGAAAGGGTGGTAAACACTCTTCAGAAGCCACCGACTTGAGATCAAACAAAGGCCCCCATAGGCAGCCAGGCTTCTATCCAGGCCCTAGATGATGTCTTGTATTCAATTTATTTATGCAGCATCTATTAGGTAAGGCCTCCTCCAACATGTCCTCAGACCTTTTTCACCCACTAACAGAACTAATTCTTTGCATTTTTCATCTAAGGCTCACACAACTTTCAATGTATTCAAAATTAATCTAACCAATCACATCACCTTTTCCTTCAGATTCTATGCACAAGAATTAGTTGTATCAATTCTCAAGTGCTATATAAGCAATGAAAATTATTATTCTACTTACCTGGTGCTATGAATATGTATTTTCTGAATAAATATATATTTACTGAATATTACAGCATATTATACTTTGTTTGAACCTTTCATTGCTTTCAGTCTGTTATGAAGGCATACAAATTGCATAATTACCTGGGCAATTTGAAGATGGGAATGTAGTTATACTCCCTTTTTATTACAGCCAAATCTTAAAACGTGGGACTGATATGTCAGCCCACCCAAGCAAGGCTGAACAGAACAGTGTTGTGGACTTAGTAAGCAAAGCCTTTAGGAGATGATGCTACCTCAGCCAACAAAACAGAAGAGAGAGAAATAATCCTCTTCAGCTATGCTAAGCTGTGATAATACATTTGGCCAAGTTCTGTTCTCAATGGTCTTAAAGCCCATGTTAGCGTCAATGAGCTCATGTTGGTTTATGTAAAAGCAGCATATCTGTGATGCAATTTCTGCAGATAGTATGCAGGTGCACACTACACAGTAATAGTTCTAATTTAGATCTTTAGATATCACGGATATCTCTAGACATCATCTAGATATCATGGGAACCTCAGGTGTTATATATAAAGGAGCATTGTCCTCCAAAGTCAATGGAGCATCACTGAAATACAACACCTGAAGATCTGGTCCCCGATACCCCAGAGAACACAGCGTGGGGAGACAGAACGTTCCGAGCTGACTCCTGCTCTAGAGCACAACCTGGGACTTTACCTGGGACTTCGATTTCCTGTACAGTGGTTGCTTTAGGTCCTCTGGCAGGTGGGGAGTATTAAAGGCTGCCAGTTCAGTTTCATTGTACTGGTTTTCTTCCATTTTCCTCATTTTGAGGCTATCTGTGAAGTGCCTTATGTGGTCCAAAGCTGATAGTCCAGTCTTATTATACTCATCGTCTTTATACCTACAAAACACAACAGAGATTACAAACACGTAAATAACAATTCCAGTAAAAGGCGTCTTCTTTTCCCAAGTGTAAAACTACTGAAAGACAATTCTCATTCACCTAAATCTACCATAAACGCATTTCACCAAAACTCATGAAAGCTGCAGGACTTGTCCAGCAGAAAGGGTACCAGAGAGGATTTCATAGGCTTGTATGCCATTTCTACCTTTCCTCAGCTACTGTGGACAAGTCAGTTTAACCAGGATCTTCAAATATGTCAGTACCTAACTTCCACTGAAATCAATCAAGAGTCTAGACCTTTACCTCTGTGTTCCCAACCATCCCCTGTTTTGTCTACTTAGACTGTAAGACCTTTGGGGCAAAACTTTCTCTTACTCTTTGTTTGTACGGCACCTAACTCCTTGGAGCCCTGATTTCTACTGGACCTCTAAACAGTACTTCAATGTAAACCCTAATGTCCATGTGAAAATGTCTTATGCTATGAAATGTATACATAGAAATAATTCCTTCTTATATAGACATCAGCCATTTTTCTTTGTTCAAGCTGTGTTTTATGGGCTCAGTTCTGGATGGTGCTAACAAAAGATGCATGCAGGAGAGTCTGAAGTTAGTAGTACTGCAGCGCAGAAATCCATTGCCTCTATTCTAGTCCACCTGTAGCATGTGAGCAGTAGGAGCCAGGAACACAGGTATATTCTATGTATTTATATCTATGTGTACCCTGATGTGATAGTGTCTGCTCCTCATAATGTCCAGTGCAAATTATGTGTGCTCATAAACGGAACAGAGTCCGTGAAGTAGCTGAGGATAGGGCTTGTGTCAGCCAAAATATTGTGAGCAGAGGGTTAGCTTAGGGGAGTTTTCCTGTGGCCTCTCAGAGTTTTGGCATTGAAATTCTTGCCTAGATTTTTGTTTTTGTCTTACATAATTGATTGTACCATTTCAAATACTAGGAAGGAACCGACCTGCCAGGGGAAGTCTTGCAATTCATATCCAAAGTACTTGTTTCCTCATAGTCATCCTCAGGGGTTCCTTCATGTATGGTACTTGAAGCAGGTTCTTTGCCCACCTTCGCTGCAATATCACTTTCTTCATCCTCTTCATCCATCATTACTTCATCTTCTGCCTCTTCATCATCCAACAAGTCGGAGTTCTGACTCGCCCCCATGGCTTTCTCATCCTTGAAGTGGCTGCCATTCATTCTAAAAAAAAAAAAATCAAAATCAGTGCATCAATCAATCACCAGCCTTTTGAAATAAAAAATCCGAGAAAATCATAGAAGATTGATCCAAAAAAGAATTAAAACACACGCTTTCCCCCTGCCAGTGGAGTACTGTCATTTCCAGTGTGCTTTTTAGTGATTTGTACTGTTTAGATTCAAATATAAATTCCATATTTGTGAAGAAGCCTTCTTAAAAATCAATGGGAAGATGTGGCCCAAGCAATAAAGGATTCCACCCCAACCCTTAAAAGGCTACATCAGGGCCTAGTCTGACACTTAGGAGGCATATTCTTCCAAACTTTTCACTGACTTAATTCCTTTTGCTTGTACTCCTACACCTATCCTAGGCATAGTAACCCAATGACTTTGAACAGGTGCTCTTAGGGCTGAAGACGCTTGAAAACCAGGCCCAATTTTTTTTTTAAATTGTGCCTGATACTGCATTCACAATTTTGCATCCTAAAGTAGATGCACGTACAATTCCTTGTGCAAGTCATTTTGTGTCAAGTCACCTACCATCCATTGAGAAACAGCACTACCTGTCTACACCACATACGTCCAAATGGGTGCATCTGTGGGTACAAATAACCATGACTTCAGGTTTGTGCCCACAGTTGTTGGGGGCTGAATTGAAAAGGCAGCGGTGATATCAAACAAAGCCCCTTAATTCTCCATATTTGATGCAATGTTTTAAGCTAGGCAGAAAATCATTATAACACCACAAGTTTTGAACACCTGTGTTTTGAAAACCTTTGGGTCTGAATATTCTGTTCTTATGGCATCTTGTGTTCTCAGACAATGGTGCCTAAATAGGTTATTGAAGAATGCCTTTTACAACTCATTCTACCAAAGGTACAGACAGCATCCATGGTGAGTAACAGGCTTGTCTGCTGCTGTAGCTTGTTGGATCAGAAGCTTGATGCTAGATAATGCTGAGAAAGTGGAGTTGCTGAGTGGTCAGCATGCCTATTAAATGGAATAGAAGATGCCTATTACTGCTATAGGAATGTATTAATTGGTACTTATTGGGGAGATATGCAAGTGATGTAAATCATTAGTGCTCCCCTGCAGTCAATGACAATATGTTGATTTGAGCACCCAGCCCAGTGTTTTACGCCATATTGGACTCTTGTTTCCGTCATATTAAAGATCCGTAGTCTTCCAGGAATAGAATTATAAAAATGGGAGCATTGTTGCTTTCATACAGTTAGCTTGAGAATATAACTGGTATTGTAGAGAACAATACATACTATACTAAGAATTTTAACTTTAAAAGATGACACATGAAAACACACTGGATATTGATTTGCCTAGTTTCTTACTGTAAGATCTTTATTACCTTAGGACAGGGGCAGGCAAAATATGGCCTGTGGACCAGATCCCACCAGGCTATTCTATCCAGCCCGCGGAGCCCACCCAAAATTTAGTAAATTAATATTTATTTGCCCTGGCTCCCTGTCAAAGCTGGATGGAGCCAGGGGCAGTAGGATCCAGAGGGAGCCCTCAGCAGGCTTGCAGGCATAAGCAGCCCAGTCCCACTCACCCCCACCCAGTTCTCTGCTTTCCTGCCCCCACCCTGCTCTAGCACCAAGTGGCTGTAGCTCCTGGCTGCATCCCTGGACCACAGAGCATGGGACCGCACTGGTGGGGTGTGTATGTGTGCACACACGTCTTGGCAGGCACAGGGGCAGAGTATGTGCCTGTCTGCAGGCACGGGGCAGTGTGTGTGTGTATGCAGGCACAGGGGCAGAGAGTGTGTGTGTGTATGCAGGCACAGGGGCAGAGAGTG